TCTCGAAAACAAAGCTCCGTACGAAAACATTTTATTTTACATTTTCGATTCATTCCATCGCGTAGAATAACCATATTGTCGATTGCGCCACCAGTTACCGAACACCCTGTATATTTGCTTTATATTTTACTCTCAAATTTAAAACAGATACACGGTTCTCGGTACGCGTTACACGAATACCATATACAAGTAATTATCTAAGCTACTTGTCCATAAAAACATGTGCTTCGTATCTATAGATGGTCTTTCGTTTGGTTATATTAAAAAACGGTTCATCCTGTGATCTGAAAACGCAACGCACGATCCACGATTCGCAAACTGTTTTCGCGGGTGCACCTTGCGTTACGCGTTTCAAAATCACGGGATTAAGATCTGGAGGGATAAGAGTATGGCTGTCGGCGATATTCCGACGGAATTCGAGCGTCGGGAATTACCGCGCCCCGAAATCGTTCTGCATGTTTATCCTTTTAGCGTATTTCCCTCCACAAAGTTGATACAAGGATACGTCGCTTTTCCTGGTGCGGTTTTTCTTCGTCTCTTTTCCAAGATCCTCCGCTATACCTTGTTAAAAAAATCGTCGAAAGTGTCGGGGACGTATCGATTTAATTCGAGGAGTCGTTTGAATGTCGTCGACGCGATAAAAGAAAAGAGGAGAGAGAGAGAAAAAAAAAGAAAGAAACGAATCGTTCTCCACCCGCGAATTCCAGTTTCCGGCTCGCGTCTCTTTAATGCAAATCGTACGACTTGTTTATTGATTATACGAGACGCATGTACGAACATACGACTACGATCGCGCGGACTCGTTAACGTAATTAATGATACGAGAGTGAGGCCGTTTCAGCAACAGCCGGCGGAATAAATAAGCGATAATATTATGTAGATGCGGCCGATCAATCCTGACGTCGCGCGATAAGGGAGGCGAAAAGAATCGTGGAAAAAATGAATCGGTATCGGATGTTGCGTATACCGCGAATCGTGTCCCGTTCAAGATGGAAACACGGATCAACGAACGCGTTTGTAGAAATTATTTTTCGAACGACAAAGTCCGAACCAAGTAGCCATTCGAGTCTGGCTGAAGCTCGCGTCCTTTACGCTGAGCGAAAAAATTTATTTCGATCGAGCTCGGTGAAATTGCGGAACACGCCCGTTAATTTAACGTTTTAAAGAATTTATTAAATGGCCGGTCGAGACTGCAAAGTTGATCGGCGTTGATCTTCGAAGTACACAAATTGGATAGTACGGTTCGCGATCGCGAACGCGCATCAGTTGCCAGACAGGCGTATCAAAAGACACATATAACAATCGAGCGTGGTAAACAGCAAAGTCATTCCTTTCATTTACGCGCGAGGGAAAAGCAACGTTTCAAGAGGAAGGTGCTCGGTACGATTCAGATTAATCGCGTAGCCCGCGAAACTGCAGACAAGCCTGCATTAATGATCGTCGCGTGTTCCGTCTCGCTCGTGAATCGACGAAACGCTTAAACGGGCTCCATACATTCGTCCGCGTCAGAAGATATCTTCGGCTCGAATTTATTTTGTTAAACGCCAACTGAATCTAACGCGACTGACATTAATCCTCGTCGCTAAGTTTGCACCCGCGTCAATTTATTTCGATCCTCCGCGGTCTTTATCGCGCTCCATCGCGCAAAAGTCTCCACTCTCGAGAAACGTATCGATACGATCACCGAGTTACGCGATCGAGACAATTGTCGGATACACAATCCGTCGTTGATTTGCCCGAACTTCGAACACTTTGCAACATTTTCGCGACACGAGGGAAACATGCTTCTAATATTTACGGTGACCCGATTCCGCGAAACGATTGCAGCGCGGCGATCTTGCCGCTCTAAACTCTCGCGGCGAGTAACAAGACGCGCGCAAGTTTCGATAGTAATTACACCACCGACGAACACAAACTATCGGGCCAAGGAGCTCGTCCGCGCTCGTAAGAGAACTGATTTTACTTTGCCACGGTTCGATGTCGTCGGACGATTACTGGCTTCGGGGAAATTCCTCGTAGTACGCGATTGGCTATTATTTTTCCGAGGGGAAGGGGACGGGCTCGGTTTCTACCTGAACGAGAGACACGCGATAAAGTTCCCTTAATTAGGGTACTGGCTCATCGAGATTCCCTACCAGATGGATGACGCTTTATTACATGTTTTGATATTAATTGCGTTACTACATACTAAATTGTTTCTCTATCTACGAGCGTGAAGTAGTAAATAAAGTTGTATCGCGCTTCGTGCGATATTTTGCGCCCCCAACGACGACTGTCGACGATGGATCGGGTCTACCTCGATCCTGGTGGATCCTCGACAGGCCGTGAAATTTCCTTGAAAGGTTGTTGTAGAGGGTCAGTAGGCGGTTAGGCCGAAGATCGTCGCGACGGGCAACGCTTCGCGGTCGAACGTCCCGACCGTCGTCATCGTATCTTTTTCCGACCCGGAGTTCAATGACACTTGTCACCGCGGCTGCTGAAACGTATCGTCCGCGAACGAGCAACAAAAGCGACTGTACCCACCACCGAGATACGTATCTTCCCTTCGGCATAAAGGGGGGAAAGGAGGCGAAAAAAGTGGATGTAAACGAGGCGCCGCGTACGCAAGAAAAGCGTTCTCGATATTAATAAACGGAGGAACGAAGATAATCCGTCGATGCGTCATCCCCCCCGACGCAAAAACAAAACCAGCCTGAAAGAGGCGAACGAGTTACGCGTACGCGGGTAGCGTTAACCGGCCGTCGGGATAAACGAAAGTATGGAATAAAGAGCGAGGTAATTAATCCGATAAAACGGAATACTTTGTGTTGCGTTGCATAATGCGAATTCCATAATCATGAGACGCGCTCGCGCGAACCGTTGTTTTCCTCGTAACGCGACTATACGTGATTAGCTGTGATTACGATGAACGCGTGTCGCCAGCTATGCCATAACGAGGCTCCGTTCTACGGCTCGTTGCCTCCCGGTTGCCTTCGATTTCGGTCCGCTGCGATCAACTTTGCCTCGCCTATTTTTTTCCTCCGCGTTCTATATGGAAAAATTGCCGCGCCAAAGAGGAAACGTTAACACTCGAACTGGCCAAGATACGTTCGAACCCGGATCTCTTTGCTTACCTTCCTTTTTTCTTCGACTAGGTCTACTATTACAGTCGACTGTTACGGATTGACCTAATGAGATTGTCGTCGACTCGAAATTCGAAACGATGCAGGTTCCGCGCTCCAAATTAACTCCTTTGCAAATCAAATTCACCCTTTTGCGAATCAAATTAACCTTCCGAGTAACTCGAAAGCGAAGCAATACGCTATTTTGTCATTTTGTTGTTTTATAGCAGTGGCTTAAGAAAACAAATTTGCACGATCCCTTTTACGAAGATTCTATGGACGAGGACTGGTCGAACCGTTCCTCGTTTACCAGACGACATCGATCGAATTACAGAAACTCGACGGATTCCTTCCTTTTCCCCGAGTAGGGGAAAATGTAATCTAATTACATTTACCACGATACGATTACACGTAATCGCTCGGTAATTACCGTCCAATTACGGTACAATTATTTTGTCCGTAGAGGTTTACTCTGTCCCATCTGTTTACGTATACACGCGTGTTTCCACTTCGCTTTAGTTATTTTTCTACACGAAACGAGTTCTACCCGTATACCGAACGAATAAATAATTATAATTGTAAATCCGTAAAGCGTGTAAAAACTATGTAATTATCGTGTAATTATCGTGCAATGCGTGTAATTTTATCACGTAAAATATAATCAGATAACATTCTGCCCAACTCTGCACCCTACCGGAGAAAAGGAATCGATTAACCCTCGCTCACCTGACTGCGAGCACCTGCAAACTGTTTACTTCTGGTTTTCTGGTCTTCTCTCCGTTCGATCTGTAACAAAAAGCAAAATAATCGAAATTTATTTCAGAATCGTATTTCATTTAATTCGGTATCAAAATAAAGAAGTTCTCGAGCACCAAGAAGATTTCGATATTGGTACGAAATAGCATCCCTGATCGATAACTCGATGGGCGCTCGACTTCCGTTCGCCGTTCTTAAGCAACTCCCCCGATTCGAAGGTATTTAAAAATGTTCGCCACCCACGATCGGGAGAAACGCGGGGCACCGAAAAATAAGCAAGAGAGAAGGTGAGGTTTTCGCGCGAACAGAAGGGCAGAGAGATTCGACATCGCTGATACACGGGGAACACTTCATAAATCATTCGCGTGGACGTGTATCCCCGCGTGCATCCGACCTGTATAACAGCCGTTGAACTTGCGAAGCTCGAACCGGACGTATCTGACCATGCGTGACCAGGAACGTGGTCGATTCAGCGTGGTAGAAAGTGTACACGCGGCGAACCGATCCGATACAATGTTTTACTTGCTCGAAAGTCTCTCGGTCGGAGAGGGAACGCGATTAGCTCTGTCGTCGATCGAAGCGATTCGAGGGTTCGTCTCGAGCGACGACCATCGTCGCGACGATGCCCGACCAAGCGGTCGGAGAACCTTCGTTTTCACCTGTTTCCCGCATTATAAATCGATCGCGTCAGACCGAAGTTTTACGAGCGTATTAAATCGAATTGCCACACAATCGTTACTTATAATGTTAGCGGGTGTCGATGATACAGCCACGTTTCCGTTACTGATCCGATGTACCGGGTTATTACTGACCGGAAAATTAATCGAACCACGCGTTCGTCTCGCGTACGCTTCGTGTATTCCCAATTAATTTCATCTGCTTCCAAGAGCGAAGGACTCGGTGACTTTGACTGTTCAGTCGACTGTACAGAGTACCGGAAGAATATTTTGAAAATCATTATTTTCAGAACCTTTTCTCGGCAAAGTCCCCCGCAGAATTCCTCTCCAAGGGTTAATAACGATTGAGTCCGTCCGAATCGAGCAATCCCAAAACGATCTCCCGTTACTAAACAAAGCAGGCGGACGCTTGTTACTTTTCACGGGCACGCATCGATAAAGGTTCGTTCGACTTGTCTGATTCCAGATACTGGCGCGCCCTACGTATTATACAAGGACAACATGGAGAGACCCCAGGGGCAATGGGGCCCGGGGCCGGGATCTCTCCAGGACGGGGGACTGTATCCGCAGCAACAGCAACAACAGCAACAGCAAGGCTCCTCCTCGTCCGGCAGTCCACAGCAGGCCTGTGGTCCCCCTGTCGAGGGAGAAAGCGGTCCCCCGCCTTCGTTGGCCTCTCCCGTGCCCTCGCCGTACCCCTCGGCACCGCCTGAGCCTCAAGCCTTAACCCCACCCGACGACGATATACAATCGAATCAAGCCACCTCTCAGCAACAGCAGCAGCAACAACAACAACAACAACAACAGCAGCAGCAACAACAGACGCAACAGCAAGTCCAACAGCAGCAGCAGCAACAACAGCAACAGGTTCAGCAGCAGCAGCAGCAACAGACGCAACAGCAGGATCACTCGCCTCAGCAACAACTGACGCCGCACGAGGTGGACCGTAGCGATTGCTTTCCCGGCGCCGGGGAGCTGCAGCAATACCCGCAACACTACTTCAAAGAGGCCAGGCCGCATCCGTCGCCGTCCGTGCCGCCACACATGCTCACGCCGGGCGGTTTCTCCGCGTTACACTACCTAAAGCAACCAGGCGTTATGCTGACGTCCCTCGGCCAAGGGGACGGCGGGCCCAGTTTGGACGCTCACCAATACGCGAGCCCCGGGGCACCGAACATGGCGACCGGGTTGCCGGACATCGTACAGCAGAGCGGCAAGTCCGGCAAGGGCGCGAACAGCGATCTACGTTTGTTCAAGTGTCTGACCTGCGGCAAAGATTTTAAACAGAAGTCGACGTTGCTTCAGCACGAGCGGATCCATACAGACAGTCGGCCGTACGGGTGCCCAGAATGCGGGAAGCGGTTCAGGCAACAATCGCACCTAACGCAGCACCTGCGCATACACGCGAACGAGAAGCCGTACGCTTGCGTGTACTGCGAGCGTACGTTCCGGCAGCGTGCGATCCTCAACCAGCATCTGCGCATCCACTCGGGTGAGAAGCCATACCAATGTCCGGAGTGCGGAAAACACTTCCGTCAGAAGGCGATCCTGAATCAGCACGTCCGCACACACCAAGGCGAGCATTTCTCTCTGCCTCCCAGACTCCCAGAGGGCGTCCACCACAACCACACTGACCCATTCACCGGTTCTTACTGTTACTATCACCAACCGCCGTCACCATCGTCGTCGTCTGTCTATTCTCTACCGTCATCTATTCTATACATATTCATATATATATATACATATATATTCATATATATGCGTTTAATACTTTCGCTCATCGTCACCCCCATATCATCGTCACCTCTATTCATTCACCATTTTCCGATCGTTGAACGAGATTTCGTACTAACAGTCGTCGGGGTCCGTTTCGTTTCTGGGTACTTTTGATCCATCTCGTTTTCTCCGCTTAAATCCCTTGTCGGTTCCCCGGCGGAGAACGGAACACGTTCTCGTCGCGAGGCGATTCACGGGACGAAAATCGATCGATTCGTCGAACGTTGATCGAACCATCGGCCTCGTTGCCGCCAAGGCCAACCATAAGAACGAGAACGGTTGAGCTGGACGCGAGCGTGCTGGTGAGCTGTGAGATAGAGGAGCCTCCCTCCTACCTCCGGTGTCCTCTCTCAGCTTCTGATCCTGGTCTACTTATTATGCCCCCTCGCTCTAATATCCGTTTCTTCGTTGCATCGTTCAAATTCACCACAATATTAATACATTCTCTGGCGCAGTGGTGACAAACTCGTACGAAAACTTGGCATCCTTTGATAGAAATTATCAAGTAACGATACTTTTGATCTAAATGTTAAATGTTGGCTCGTTGCTCGCACTCTGCGCAAACTTTTATCAACTTTTGAACAACGTCGATTCAACCTTCCGGCCATGGACCGTTTTCTAGGGTTCTGCGAGCGACGCGTGTTTGACATCACTGCTCTGCAACTCTGCGATAACTCGATGGCCCAGACGGATTTCGGATCCTCGTCAATATCCAAGATATTAGTTTGTTGACCAGAAATATCAAAATTATGAAAATATTTTCGGGTTCTCGCACGCCTCTTCTCTGTTCCGCGTCTACTTTAACACTACCCAACTCCCAGTAATACTTCCATTATGGGGGTTTTCTAGTCTAGATAGCAATGTTTTGTAGCACTATGCATGTTTTTGGCCCACCATTTAAGTAGCCGTTTTGCTTACCCGATACCATTTTGCTCGGTACAAAAGTGACTTTTGAAGCTTCTAGACTAGAATGCCTCCTCGAACGCGTCCTTTCGCGAAGACGTAGAAGGTGGATCTCGGACTCGCTCGTCTAAAACTGGTCGGTGACCGCGATTAGTTCGACGCTGCTTTATTAACTTTCTGCCTGCACCGCGTCTCGACGGCCGTGTTCGAACGAAACAGGTATTTTCTGGTTCCGAGGGTACGTTTGTCGCGGCATTTTGACACGTAGTGCGCATACCCGGTGTTCGTTGGCCTCTTTTTCTGGTCCGTGGTACCGTAGTCCGGGCGACTAACAAAGATATTCCTCCAACGATCGTTGGTCGGGTCAGCCGAGGATGAACTTGGTTCCGTGTTTGTTGCAGACGTAAGTCCGCATCTGATCTTCAAGAACGGGATGACGCCGACACTCTGGCCGCAGGACGTACCGTTCCCTCCGGAGGAGGGCAAGGAGGAAGTGGCGTCGACGTTCGGTGACACGGACACGCAGTCGGGGGCGTTCAGTCCGGCGCCGGACGCGAATTCCATCCAGTATCCCGCGTACTTCAAAGACCCGAAAGGCGGTAATCACGCGGTGTTCGGTGCCGGTGGTACGGGCAGTTTCGGTGCCCTCCAATACATAAAGCAACAAGGCGGTGGCAAGGGTTGTTTACCGGACGTGATACAACACGGTCGCTCGGCGGGGATGCCGCTTTACGTGCGTTGCCCGATCTGTCAGAAGGAGTTCAAGCAAAAGTCCACGTTGCTGCAGCACGGTTGCATACACATCGAGTCGCGGCCGTACCCGTGCCCGGAGTGCGGCAAAAGGTTCAGGCAACAGTCCCACCTGACCCAGCACCTACGCATCCACACGAACGAAAAGCCGTACGGTTGCGTCTACTGCGGTCGTAACTTTCGTCAGCGCACGATCCTGAACCAACATCTGCGCATCCACACCGGCGAGAAGCCGTACAAGTGCCAACAGTGCGGCAAGGATTTCCGTCAGAAGGCGATACTGGACCAGCACACGCGCACCCACCAGGGCGACCGGCCGTTCTGCTGCCCGATGCCCAACTGCAGGCGGCGTTTCGCCACCGAGCCCGAGGTCAAGAAGCACATCGACAACCACATGAACCCGCACGCGGCCAAGGTGCGCAGGAACTCGAGCAGCGACACCAAACCGCCGGGCACACCGGCCGGTCTGGGCCCGGTGCCCGTCCCCAGGGGACTCACGCCCACGGTGGTCAAGCCGGAGCTCTATTTCCCGCAATGTTACGCGCCCGCGTTCAACCATCAGCCGCCGGTCTCGACCGCCCAGTTCCCCGGACAGGCGAACGGCGTGTCCGTCGCCGGCGAATTCAAACCACCGACCGGTCTGCCGCCACAGTGACTAACCGTCCATCCTGCCGCCTACTAGCAAGCAGGAATACCGCTGAGGTTTCAGCGATGCTTCGGTCACGCGTTACAGACCGACGCCGCCGCGACGGCGTCGAGCGTTGCGTCCCACCGATGCAACCAGCAGCCGATCCAGCAACACTACCCGTGACATTTATCGTACATTTACTAGGGTCTTTCTTTTCGTTTCGCGGTTCGTTTACTTTCCTCGTTCCATTGCTTCGCAGAGCCTCGGAACGCGTCGCCAGCCAGCACGGAGCTCGACGACCACCGCAAACGGACGAGCCTCTCGCGGCTTTTCTTCTTATTCGTCGAAGCGGATCTCGACGGTGTGCAATAATAAATCGTGGAAGAGCAACATCGCGATCGCGCGAATCGTCGCGGTCTCGTCGCTGGTCCCGTCGTTGTTCCCGTCCGCCACGACGGAATACACGCGCGCGCGGTCTCTCCAAGCAAACCGAATCCGAACCGTTCTGATTGGATATATCTAGCGTGAAACGCGACCGCGCGAACCACCGACGAGAGCCGTCGTCGTCCTCGTCGTCGTTTTGATCGTCGAGCTCGCGCGCTGGCACCGAGAAAGGTGTGTAATCAACCAACGAAGAATCTCGTCTATTCTCCCATACGTATTTTTTATATTAACGAATTAACGACGTGTACCTTCTCGCGGGTTTTTTTCGTGGATGAAGCGAATAGCTCGAGAGAGTTCGGTGGTTCCGGGCAGGCAGGCCGTCCGAGGTGTTCGTCGCACCGATCACGCTCATTCGGAACGTGTTCCGTCGCGAACACGGGTCGAGGATGTTCGATTTCGACCAGACTCGAAGCAAAACAAACGAACAAAACAAACAAAAAAATGAAACAAACGATTGTGATACGATATTTAACTTGCCTATGTTTAAAGAGACGAAAAAAAAAAAAAAAGAAAAGGAGAATGGGGAAAAAGATGTGATGAGGAGGAAGATACGTTGCCTCGAGACGGGAGGCGAACACACGACCACGAGAAGAATGCCTGTAAATATGTAAAGCCGTTCGCCCCGGACGAACGAACAAAACAAACAAACAAAAAAACTGAAATGGCGCGAAAAGGAGCAGGAGAGATATGCGTGCGTGGTGCGTGAATGCGTCCGTGTGAAAGAGAGAAACGAATGCGCGTTTCGGTGAGGAGGACGAGGGGGAGGAGGGGGAGGGGGGTAGAAGGAGGGAAACTGGAGGATACGCGGGTCGGGTAAGGATCGCCGAAGGATACAAGAAGGAAGAAAAAAAATGTTGCAGAAGAGCTGGAAGAGGAGGACGACGAAGAGGACGGTAGGATCGGTGAGTGTAAATGGGGGAGGGGGGGTGGGGGTGAAGAAGAGAGATTAGGTAGGATTTACGAGGACGACGCGGTATCCCCCGAGTGTGCTGAGCCATAGCTTTCGATACGACAAGTTGACGATGACGATAGTTGCGCGAGGGGAGGTATGACTCTTGTATACTATAGTAATATTTGAATGTATATTTATACGATAGGTTATATTATTCTATTAACTATAATGATGATATTTTGAATCGGTTTTAAAATCAGATTGGTGCTGATATAACACTAGGTAAGCGAAACGAAAAGAGGAGGGAACGTGGAAGAAGGCTGAGACACCGTAGAGTAGCGTAAAGTAGGGTAGTCGATAGAGTAGCTCGAAAGAACAAAATTAAAAACGAGTAAAATCGGGACGAGGAGGTAGGGTGGGGGGGGGGCGGGGAAGGGAGGGGGGTGGGGGAATAAAAAAAAAAAAAAAGACTTTCGACGGACCCTCGGAAAGTCCGCTCATTCGGAACTTAATAATAACAAATAATAATTGAACGCTATCGTTACACCGACCCGGTGAAAAAAAGAGAATGAAAGATTATTTCGTGGCAATACTTAAACGAGACGAGAGAAAGGAGGGGGAAGGATACGAGGAAATTTCAACGTACTAGAGAATAGTCTTTTAAATTTCTATATTAAGACGTGTGATCTCTCTAATTATTGTATATTATATATATATATTATAATGATCTATATCTATAGATGACGAGATGCATAAGTATATATATATGTATAATTACGATTATACGTATATTAGGCGTTCTACAGTTAGTCTTTTATCATAATTAGACACAGAGATGATCTGAAGATGAATAATTGTGCGGCCATATTCTCTGTGGCCTGTTCGTAGTGCCTCGGAATTGCTGCTCGCGGCAGTGATTTGACCGTATTTTAGGATGGTATATTAATAATTATATTGAGAACTGCAATTATCGATACTCTGATACAGTACTAAAAGAACAAGAGCACGAAGGAGTATTCGGGAGAAATGGGAAAAAGAGAAGCAAAGTCGACGAAATAAGTAATCGCGTTGATCGGCTCATTATTTAATTATCAGAGACTCTACTTATAACCGCGTTTAAAAAAAAAAACAAAAAAGAAAGTTTTAAGGAAACGATAAGACGTGCAGGAGCGCCGGGAACCGCGAGAGAAGAAACGACAACGATACGATCGTTTGCCGATATACTCGTTATCGACGTTATTTTTTATCATATTATTTTCTTTGTTACGCTTTTTCTTCGTTCTTTCTCGTTCGTTGCGAGCACGCGAGAAGTCGAAATTGAACAGGGCTCGTCGGATAATTCGAAAAGAAGGAAAAAAAAAAATGATATCCTGACACCGGAGAAAACGTGTTCCAATTTACCATTGTTTACGAGTATTATTATCTCGATGTTTTTACGATCGCTCGTGATTTATCACGATCTACTTATCGTTAGACCCGCTCGTCCCTCTCTTCTTGTACGTTTTCAGCGGGACAATTTCGTGGTCGAGTTACCGTGGTTACCACGAGACGATACGCGTAAATCGCCGATGATATCCGCATGCCTTTTCACGACGTTGCTTAATTTTTCTATCGAATTTAACGATTAAACGCAGCCATTGAAATACGAAATGAACTTTCCCCATCGAAACGCACGCCTCGAGCGCGAAAACAATAACCCAATCTTTTTAATGCCGCGTCAAGTTGACAAAAAACGCGATACGTTACTCTCCAATGAGAATAATAATTGATTCGTTATGTGTCGGTCGATGGTCGAATATCGTCGCGTTCTATTGAAAGACAATCATACGTTGAAACCGCGCATTTACGATCCACGACCGCACGAATGTCTTGAATTTTCAGAAATTTATCGCTAAATACCAGTTTCTCTTGCAGCACTTTCGTGGGTACTTTTAAGTTGATTAGAAATCGATGAGAAACTTAGTCGAATCGCAGTCTGCATACAATACCAATGCACAAAGAATTTTCTCTCGCCTTTCTTTACGAGCATTCTATAACAGTTTATTTTGTATTTTCGCGTTATGGTTTGCAATTTACTATCCAGCTATTATCTGCCACAAGGGGGACGAGACAAAGACGTAAAATAATTTCGAACCGAGAATAACTATGCAAACAAAGTCCTCTGAAGGAACCGATGTAATTTCACAGAGATTTAGTTGCCAAATCACAGAGCTGTTTGATATTTCAGAAGGGTTGGAATATTCGTTCGCGATCGCGTCATGCAAGGGATGAGAAGGGGTAAAGAGAAAGACGGCAAATTGTTGTAAACATAGTGTAGATACGAACGGAATTTTGTTTATTGTTCTAACTCGTCGTACCCGATGCAACGATGTATCTTATTATTAATTATTATTATCGCTATTAATTATTAATTATTATTAAGTTTCATCGCGAGAGAGAGAGAAAGATTTTGCATACGGTGCAGTGGTTAGTTTCGTTCTTTCTTTTTTTATAGAGTTTTTCACGTTTCTACTCTAATATCGTACTTTCTTTTTTTTTTGTAACTCGTCGACTGCACGAAACCGTACTCTTTTACACTTTTTATGTCCGACATTGTTGATCGTTCCTCTCGTTGATTTGTTTTCTCCTTCTCTTTTAACGAAGTAATCGACTACTAGTGCTTATGCTTATTTTACTCTAATCTCGCAGTCACAAAATCGGCCGTGGTAATACGTACGTCCATACACACTGTGCACAGGTTTTTTTTTTGAAACGTGATCATAATTCCAAGGATGAATACTATTGTATACGTCTGTATAATTTTTCTAGCATCTTTCCCAGATGTAACTCCTTCAGAAATCACTAAATTTTAAATGACAAGCTTTATCGCATCGCTTGAGCCTGAAAGTTGCATCGCACCCGAGGGATCAAGCTTCTATTTAGAACGGTGGTGCCCATACATATCTAACAAGTGGTTACATACAGGTAGTTTGATAAAAATCAATGTTCTTTTTCCTCGATATGTAGACAGGAATCTCGTTTAAAATCAAACTAAACACCAACGATGTGTGAATTGAAGAAACAAACGCTCCAAGCTTTTCCATTCGTACTACTAACAGTCGATTCCTCGAAAATTTTACTCGATTTTCATCGACACCGCCGCGTTTTTGTTAGTTTTACATGTTAAGTTCATCGTTGGATTTATGCCCACAGAGTTTTCGTAAAAAGAGCCTGTGCACATAGATAGATTTATGGGCACGTCGACGACATAACGAAGAAGGTAAAAGCAATGTCGGATCGGTTTTTAACTGTTTAATCTTTTTATATATATATATGCATATATATAATATATATATAAATATTTTATACATTTTGCAAAGTAGTTTGCAAAAGAAAGAAGAAAACTAAACGATAGCCAGCTGATCTGGCCCGACGACAGGGACGCGTTATATTTTTTACTTTTTAAGTTCCGTGTATACGTACTCCGGTCGCAGAACTCGTTGCGAACTGCTGCGAAACTGGTTTCGGGTGGTTGGACGACGTCAGAGCCTTGTGTGGTGCCATTTCGATCGACGGAACGCTCTCGGCGAGCGTTTTCAGCGTGGTTAAACGGTGGCGATACGTGGTAAGGTGCTGTGATATTGATTCGATCGGCGATTAAGTGGACGAGGAATAAGAAGACGAGAAAAAAAAAAAGGAAAAAAGGAGAATAATCACGAAACACGTGTCGCGAGACGATCCGGCCGATTCGCGGGATAGTTATCGTTGTAATACCGCCTCGACGTATACGATGTTATCATACGTTTATTTATAAGCGACTTTTCTATTGTAATGTGTAC